GGCTGCGGCAGAGCGGGCCGCACCCCCTGCGGGGCCCCCCTCGAGGGGTGAGGGCTGGAGACCGGATTGCGGGGCCCCGTTGGGTTCGGCTTTCTCGGGAGGCCCCTCCCGCCCTGCCGGAGCCAGCGGGGTGGGGGTTTGGAGGACAAACAGCCGACTGGCGGGGGTTCTGGTGTAACCGGTTCGGGAACCTCTCCCGCCCCGCAGTGGGAGCCGGTTCTGCTGACGGTTCTCCCCCTGGGAGGGGCTGAGCGCGGGCCTGCGCCTCGTGGGGGCGCCCAATGGGAGGGGAAGGGCGCCCCTTCCCTGGTGGGGGTGGCCGCGCGCCTGCGACCCTGAACGCGGCTGTCTGCCCGCAGCCCTGTGGGCCGAGGGCTCCAAGCGAGGTTTGGATCCTGGGTGCGTGGCTTTGGGCCTAGAAGATGCCTAGTGCCCCTCCCGGGAGGAAGTGGGGGGACCACAGCCTAGCTTGGAGAGAACCTTGAACTGCCCTCTCCAAGGACCCCCAAACCTCTGAGTCCTCCCCCCAGGTCTAAGAGGCTGGGGGAGGGGAGTGGAAGGGGAAGGGAAGAGGGTTGAGGGGAGGGTGGGGAAGGGTGGGGACATCTGCTAGACCCTAGAGCCTTTTAAGTTTCTTGGCTAGATTTTTTCTTTACTTTTTCTAAGAGATTTATTGGGATATAATTCAGATACCATATAGTTCATCCATTTAATGTGTGCCATTCAGTGGTGTTTAGTACGTAAACAATTGTGTAACAATCACCACAACTTTAGAACATTGCCGTCACCCCCCCCAAAAAAGAAACCCCATACCCTTAAGCCATCACTCCCCAACTCGTCAGCCCCAGCTCTAGGCAACTAACCTGCCCTCTGTCTCTGTAGCTTTGCTTATTCTGGACATTTCATAGAAATGGAATCACAATACGTGATCTTTTGTGACTGGCTTCTTTCACTTAGTGTAATGTTTTCAAGAGTCATCCATGTTGTAGCATGTATGAGTACATACTTCATTCCTTTTTATTGCTGAATAATATTCCATTGTATGTTCCTAGTATTTTTTAAGCAATTGATGTCCTCTGTTTCCCTTCCCCTTCCCTGCCCAAGCAAGTGTGCAGCGGCCTGCGGACCCATGACACTTTCTAGGGGTTTATATCAAATATATTATTATGCAGAGCTAACTTTGAATTATTTAGCAAAGGCTGAATAATGAATTTTGACATTTTTCTAAAAATCGCCTGTTTAACTTAAGTAACAGATGTGATCCGTTGCTTAGTACACTGCAAAACTGAGACTATAATTTTACTTTACAGAGTTTTTTAAGGGAAAAACGAAGCAAATTACATTTTTCTTTAAGAAATCTATTTTTCTTTTCATCTGTAGAGTTCCTTTCATACTTATCGATGCCTTTTGGGGGGCTTTTTACTTATAGAAACACTGAGTCTAAATTTGGAGACATTCATTTTGTAAAGTGTGGAATATACAATTAATGAAGATAACAGCAGGCGACTAAGCTGAATTATCTATATTTACAAGGTGATAGTCAGATAAAAGAACAGAAGGAAGGAAAAAAGGATTTATTTCAAAATAGTAGGATTGGAGTTAGAACAAATTTAATGAAATTCAGAAGGCTCAAGTTTTATACCCATATGTCAAAACAGTCTAGCTAGTTTTCTTGTTAATCAATTATGGTAAACTTATTCTTTCTATGAGCTCCTATTTAATCAGTGTTTACATGACACTATGAAGAAGCTATTTTATGTAAGCTTTACAGTGCAGGTGACAGTGCAGTGTGGCACTTATCACCAGGTGCTGGAGAGCCCTGCAGCAGTAACTACAGTGATTCTCATTATTTGCAGCAGCTTCGCTCTATAAAGTCACCATGAACATTAAATTAATGAATATTGAACCCTTGCTTTGAATTAATGAATAGAACCCTTGCTTCTAGAGGAAATACAGAGCTAGTGTTCCTGCAAGCCTCAACATTTTGATCTATAGGTCGATACATAAGCTTGTGTTATTCCTGTTGTTGTATAAAGATACCTTATTTAACCCTTTGCGGTCATTTGTCTACTCTCAGCCACCAAAGCTTTTTTACCGTTCAGGTCGTATGTCTGCTCTCAGCCACCACAGCAAGGAACCGTACGAATCTTAACTCTATTCATTCATGTATCAGGTCATAATTTCTCTGAAAGCTCTTAATTCCGACCAGTACGACACCCATGTCCAAATTTAATACGACCGCAAAGGGTTAATATAGACCCATTAGCCATTTGACCCAGTGATCTCACCTCTAGGAATATATCCTAAGAAACCAGAAACACCAATCAGAAAGAACTTATGCGCCCCTATGTTCATAGCAGCGCAGTTTACAATAGCTAAGATCTGGAAACAGCCCAACTGCCCATCAGCAGCTGAGTGGATAGAAAAGCTGTGGCACATTTACACCGTGGAATACTATGCAGCTGTAAAAAAAGAAGGGTACTTTGAGACAATATGGAGGGACCTGGAGAGTATCGTGCTAAGCTAAATAAGCCAGTCAGAGAAAGACAAGTACCACATGATCTCACTTATATGTGAAATCTAATGAACAAAACAAACTGATGAACAAAATAGATCCAGAGACTTGGAAGCACGAAACAGATTGACAAATCTCAGAGGGAAGTTGGGGGTGGGGGAGTGGGTGGGGAGAGATTAATCAAAGAACTTATATGCATAAATGCATAACCCACAGACTCAAGCAATGGTATGGAGAATACCTGGGGCTGCGGCAGATGCAGGGTGGAGGGGATCAATGGGGGGAAGAAAAGGACATCTGTAATACTTTCAACAATAAAGATAAAATTTTTAAAAATAATAAAATTTTTCTATGCAGGCGTAAAAAAACTTGCCATGAAGATGGAAACAAAACAACAACAACAAAATGCCATGCAAATGGAAACAAAACAAAACAGAAAGCAATACTCTCATATCTGATGAAATAGACATCAAACCAAAGGCCATAAAAAAGTAAAAGAGGGCCCGGGTTGTGGGCCCAATCCCCAGTGGGGGTCGTGCAGGGAGCGGCCGATNAGATACCTTATTTAATATACATTTTTGAATCATTAACACTGAGCTCACAACCAGCAACACTATAACTCACGCCTTCATAAAGCTTATTGGACACACATAACTCCTCGCAAAGGCACACCAGCCTTCCTGTGCCTAGGTACGCTAGACAGCGCTTCAGCACTATACCTGGAGCCATTTAGAACAGCAAAATCACCCAGACAAAGCCAAAAATCCCCAAAACATGGCACTACATAGATTTAGAAAAGGACACCTGTTTTACTGTATGAAAGCTGAAACCAGAAGGCGGAGCTTTGCTTTGTTAAACCTCAGCTGGGAGTATGTGCACCCAGTGGCCACATCTTTCAATCCTCTACGCGTGCACAGGTCCACCAGCGATCGAGAGGGTGCTGTGAGGATTGCTTTTGGAGCTACAAATACGAGCAAGTTGGTGAATTTTCAAATACAAAATCTATGAATAATGAGAATTGGCTGCCAATGTTTCCTACAGGAAGTTACATAAGTCACTTCCATCCATATTTCATTGACCAAAGCAGATCATAGGGCCTTGCAGGTGGGAAAGGGCAGCAATCACGCTGTGTTCTCAAAGAACTCAAATAATCGATGCAAACACCAATGTTTAACACTGGTATTTTTAGTCATTAATTGATTATTTGATATTTGTGGTAGATTTTATTTCCCGAAGGTAGTTACAACATTATCTCCTATGCAACATGCTGTTCTTACAATGTGACTTCAACACACCTTCCACTGAGAGGTGATCTGTGCGACCTTTCCTTGAAACTCGCCAGGTTTGTGACTACAGTAGAAGTCACACTGCGTGAGTTCCGAGGCTAGATCAGTAAAGGCTTCCATCTAGTTCTCTTTGGGACACTTACTCTTAAAAATCCAATAACCACGCTGAGAGTTAGCCCAAGCAGCTCTATGGAGAACACGTGTGGGTTCCTAGCTGCGGGCCTGGCTGCCAGCTGCATCAGCCCCACCACGTGTGTGACCAGGGCTTCAGACGACTCCAGCCCTCCACCACTGAGTCACCTTTGGAAATCCTCATTTCGTCCAACCTGGGGCCCCAGAGGTCATGGGGCAGACACAAGCTATCCCCACAGAAGTCACAGAATCTGTGAGCATAATAAAATGTTTA